TTTCACTTCTTCTTTGGTCTTCTTTTCAACCCTTTTCTTTTCAACGGAGGTTGTTTGAAGGCTTAACGCTTGGAATTTGGAGGCCAAGGCTTTGACTTCTTCAGCGCTTGGAGAGGCTTCTTCTTCGTAACTACACAATTCTGGAAATTCTTGCGCCAACCAGTTAAAAGCTCCCTCGACTTGACCGTTTTCATCACGTTGTTTTAATACACTATAGACTTGAGTAAGCGAATGGCGAAATTTAGCGAAACGATTTGCATCCATGTTGACAGCAAAATGATGTTGTACAATGGTAAAATGAAGCTTAAATCGTCACATGAAACGTGCTCTGCATACAAATGAATCACGAGGTGTCGGCCATGTGATTCACCACTTGAATCTTGTGAAACGCGATCAGATGACCTTCACGCGTTACGCATGCAAACATGTGAACACTTTGTGGTGAACACTTCGTGTTTTCTCATTAAAAAAATTATCTTGACCACTAACAAAAACATGGATATTGCCAATTTTTCGAAAGATATGGCTCTCAAACTCGAAAACGATCGCACGCGTAGAAAAATCTATCAGACTGTACAAGACTACAAAGATGTACAGCAAGGTATCGCTATCCAACGCGAGAAAGAATTCAAACCCATCACACAGGAATTGTCCAAGGTCAAACAAACAATAGACGACAAACAAAACCAGCTCATTGCAAAATTGGATGAGAATCAACAGGCGCTCACACGCGATCTTTCGTTTCTCAAAGAGCTAGACACATTCGAAAGCCCACCACAGAGCCCATCAGCTCTTGAACCACCACCTAAACTGAAAACAAAAGTCCCCGACCCAGACAAGGATTTTAGCCAAGACGAGCTTGAATATATTCAAAAAATCGGCTACCCGAGTCCTAAAGTCGCATTCAAACAGATACTTGAGGAGGAATTTGATCACGAAGGACTCCTGTTTGATGTGCTTGATAAAATCAGCCGAGCAAACCATACAAAGGCCGGTCTCTCGAAGAATAAAGAGAAAAACAGAGACCAAATCGAAGATATTGTGCGACAAGTCAACACGCTGAAAAAATATGCAGACCGAATTAATTTACTTGTGGGTGGTGATGAAATACTTGTCACGCAAGGTCAAGGTCTCAAGGGTCGCAA